AAGTGAGCCACTCTAAAAATAATATTACAGAAATATTGTAGATTGGTATTCTAACTGGAAGTATGGACCACTAAATCAAAAAGTTTCATTAGGAAACAAATAATCTTGACAGAAAAACTTTGTAAATCTTTTTTTGTGAGTCGTTTTTGACTATGTGTGGGAGAACAGAAAATATTTTGGACAACTCAAAGCTATGATTTTGGAAGCCAATAAAATGCCCCAAATGTGTTAATTGAGATTTGGCACAAATCAATCATCAATGGCTGTTTTGGTCAAATTTAAATCTTACTCTTTCCACTTAAACCTGTAGATATGATAAAGAAATTACAACGTCAATTTCTCAGTGTGAGCTATAAATTACAGAACCTCACTTTTTTCTTCTCAGTCTGTAACTTACAGTATATTGACCACGAACTCAGTTAGTAATTATAGGTAAATAGCACTCCAACTTCAACAAAAAAGAGGCATTATGATGTTTTTGAAATCTTAATTATTACTTAAAGAATGACAACTACAGTCGAACCCCGCTATTTCGAACTTGGTTAATTCAAAGTCCCCACTATTTCGAAGGAAGATCGAATTCCCTTGGATTTACCCTTATCCTTTACACTTCCCCAGTGCTTTTGAAATCCCGCTATTTCGAACTTTTTTCTATTTCCCCTGGGACTTCGAAATAGCGGGGTTCGACTGTAGTTTAAAGTACCAGCATGCGACGTATTATGCTGCCTGTACAAATTAAGAAGGAAACAGTAGCCATCCTTACCTAATGGTTGAGTACTGGCTGTGAAAGCCATACGATATGCTTGTGAATTTTCTTATCAAATTAATCCAATTACCCAGTATACCACAAAACTACTGCTGACTAGAGTATATTTACGCCAAAGATCAAGCCTTTGAATTTTACTTACCTCACACATGAAGCAGTGTTGAAAGTCTTGAAGCAGCCTGTGTAGGCTAAGGAACTTTTTATTAGGGAATCATTTCCTTTTGACATGGTCACTCAGTGTCAACAATTTAACATCATTGGTGAAGTTTACCCTGTGGGTCACACAGCAATATGACAGTTATGAGGTAATATTAACCCTTTAAACCCCTAAAGTGACCAACATAGGTTTTCTCCTAACAGTAAATATACACAATCACAAGTAAAGGTTGTGAGGGTTAATAAAGTGATCCCAAAAAGGGAAATGCTTTGATCTTTTATCAGATTTTCCCCTCAATTATAATTCTTGAAGGAAATGTATAGAGATCAGTCAGGAGTATTTTGTATGTGGATACCAGGTCTTAGTTTTAATGACTGGTCAGGGAGATAACTGATTTTGTTTTTCAAGAATCTAAGCATGCAATTAAAAAGAAAGTCACGTCTGATAGCCTGGGAGGGTGGATTTTGCAATCGGGCAAGTAAATTCTGTTCTTAACTTGCCCAAAGGGCAAGTGAAGTTTTTGAGGAAATTCAAATTACAGAAGAACTGCAGTAATCAATGCTGCCCATCAAAAATTTTTTTGGGCTACTTAAAAGACTCTTGGGCTAGTACATACTAACAACAACTTGCCCGAATGGCAAGCCATAAAACCGACTTTCTTTGTTTCCTGAATCTCATACAAAATTAACTCCTTTCCTGAGGGACCAGTCATAAGGTGAATAAAGGCCCGTTTATATGAGGTGAACCCGAGCCCAGTTAGATATGCTGGCACATTTTACTGGGCTGGCTCGGCTCATGGCTTGTACCCGTGTTTCCTCTACAATCTATTCTCCTTGTGTTTATATGAGGTCAGGTGGGTTGGCCTGCTTACCGAGATCTCAGCAGGGATCTCAGCCAGCCCAGCTTTTCATAAATACACAACAAAAATTTTATAAGGAAACATGGCATAAGCCGAACCAGCCCAGTAAAGCAAGCAGGCCAGCCTGGCTAACAGGGCTGGTTCACCTGATATAAAAAGGCCCTACACTGTAAGATAAGAATGCTGAGCAAACTAGCCTTTGTGTAAAAGCAAGTCCTTTGACAGTCTTTTATTGTTTAGATAATCTTATTTACATTATTTTGAAAGAGCAGTGTTGCTTCTATCAAAACAAGGCTCACTTCCACTTGAGATTCGGATACTCAGTACACAACTGTAACATGGCCTTTTACTATGAACATGATTTTTTTTTGGTATGAGGGAAGAAAGTTCTAGTAAAAAGGCCTAATTAGTGTGAGCATGGCATGTGTCTGCTCACATTGAATTCTTTTACATGTAACACAAAATATACTAATATGGTTTTAGGTGAGCTAAGCCAGCCCAGCAAACTTGGCTAATAGAAAAACCCCGCAGTTGAGAACAGATCATCGTTTGCTCAATTTCTACAACTTTTATTACGCTTACTTAATTCATATTATTAAGGTGACCAATTGGTATGATCTGTGGATTATTTTACACTTGATTGTGACACGGAAACGTGACTCTTATAAATTTGATACCGCCAATTTACAAAGAGTCTAAGGACGAGTAGGGGTAAGAACCCACTACTTCCTTCCGAGTTCTATCACATTTTCACTTTCGTGAAAGAGCATAAAAAATTATCAAAGCTTCTAAAGAGAAGAAAACTGATAGCGTTCCTCATTCCTTTTCATTGATTTGCCTCGCTAAGCTAGGTCGATACCACTCTTAATCATACCTAGCGGTTATCCAATTTCAGCAAAACTGGGAATTTAGAAAAGTACTGGAAATTTGTTGTTGTCCTGGACAAAGCAGGGGTTAAAAAGTTATTCACTTCGTCACATGCACGTCTTCGCACGTCCACACGTTCTACAGCTAGTCGCTAACACGCGCCAAGAAACAGTGAAAGGATTTCACACTATTTCATAACAATTCACCGTTAAATTTTTCCTTACATAACAAACACTTACCAAGTGACTCTTTCCTCATCACCAGCAGCGGGGCCACACAGAATTACATTTTCAAGAACTACTCATCGTGTGTTTGCCTTGTGTTTGCCGCGCCAGCGAACACACTTGAGCATGTCAAACAGACCCGGCTAGAGTATGCAGGGGCGAAAATATGTTTGTCTCACAACTGAAACCATTCAAACGTTAATTCCACCTATTCAATTTAAATTTTCTCAAGTTATAGGGGATTAATGTAAAATGCGTTCTTTTTAATGGTTTCATTCATCTCTGAATTGTTCTCTTTTAAGGATTTCCGCATTCCCTAGGGGACGGGAGTTCATTCAATCGTATTTTAGCACATCTGAAGAGCCAGGTTACCAAGCTTCGTCAACAGAAAAACAACATATTTTTTCTCAGGATTCGTGGCGGAGGAGGAGGTCTTTCGAAAAGAAAATGACACGCCGAATCGAGGTGTTTCATCTAGATTTCAATCAAGACCAAGGTAAAACCTTAAAGCATCCATTCGCAGATTCCATATAACACGATAAACCTGTAATCAAGAACAGCGATTGAAATTTCGTGGGCCGGAATGCTAGCAGTAGTCATTTCACTTTTAAGAAAACTGAAATTATCTGGCCTTCACTCAATTTTTCCAAAACGCTGACGAAAAAGCATTTATCTAAAAATATTCCTCGTTTACTTTATTTCTCTGGCATTTGCGGTAAGAATACATGGATTTGTCAAATTATTAAAACGTTCTTTTACGTGCACTTGCTTGGCCTGAGCCGTTTGTTATTGACAAACAAAATAATAGTAATTATTATTCTCTACTAACATATCCAGGTTGCTTTTCTTGTACAATGGAGGGTGGTTTTAGAATTTACAACGTGGAACCTCTTTCAGAAAAAGCCCGTGTTGGTGAGTCTCTTATTACTACAATGGTTATAATATGTTTTATTTAAAGCATAAACATTCAAACAAAATGATAATCCTCAAAGAGTCAATCCCATTGCAAAGGATGGAAGGGAAAAAAATTTAACTGGCAAAACATCAAAATCCTTCTAAGCCATACACCTTCAAAACCAGCATGGACTCATTGCAGCAAAGTTGTCTACTCAAAGACCTTAATTCATTCGTTTTATATTCTGGGCCAGCAGCAAGACTACAACTGGAGAGGCCAAACAAATCGCCGGACTCAAAGCTACATGTATCCTCTCACCCTACCCCCTTTTTCAAAAAGTACATAACAAGTACGGCTGGGTTTTTGCGGGAGAATCCAAAAACGGATTTGTGATCTCAGATCATATGGATTCCTCACTACCAAAAAACGGAAGATCTGAAAAAGGATCATTTACCATGACAGCGGCATGTCCTCATGCTCCTTGTGATGAGAAAAAATAGAAGGAAAATAGAGGGAAAAAAGAACAAACTGATCTTCACCACGAAGACAAGAAGGAAAAGCGACATAAACTAAGTATGAATATACAAAATGTACATATTTCGGTTTGAAACACAAACGTTTCTCAAATTGAATGCACCTTACGATAGTTAAATTATAAGAATTTAAAACTGAAGCCTATGAACTTTTTCTTTAATCACTTAAGCAGACTCTACATATACCCTATACAAAAAACATGTCAAGTAAGAGTTTAATTTAAACAGGCTACAAATGTAAAAGGATGACTAACATGGAATGATATGTAACTTATGGCTCAAAGTTAAGGCGCTACCAACATACATAGGTTCAGTTAGAATGTCATGCTTTTTGTTCAGAAAACCGCCTGTCAAAAATACATTTTTTCAAATTCTTTTCCAAAAAAAATGCTCAGATTGTGAATCTCAAAAATCTGAATTTGGGTTTTCCCAAAAAAACTGCACCCTAGGTCAGGGAGCATTAAGATTCATGTCAGATAGATTCTGATAAAGTCATGATGCCACAGTGTCTTGTGTCAACTTTGGTTAAAAGGACTCCTTAATGAAACTTAAGCAAACATTTAAAAATATAATGAAACTCCCCCCAGATATCTATGCGAACAGACAACAAATAAAACTGGATATACCACTTGTTTGGCATGAAGAGAGTGTCATTTCACAATGGTGTGTAAAAATCTATCAAAATCCAAAAGAAATAAAGCTCTCTGCAAGGTGTTCGAATTCATTGGGCGTCGGAGATTGGAGAATATTCCGTTCACTACGCAGAATTCTCCGGCTAATGTTCAATAGCCAATGACAATTTTTATACAGTTGTGGGGACTCTTTCAAAATATTCTCCTGTAATGTTACACCTTTGTCCCGCTACTAAAATTCTTAATGAAAACACTGTCTCTTCCCACCCAAACCTGCCAACAAAATGGTAACGGTCCTGGAAGAAAACAGGAATGCAGCAAATTAAAATGGTGGTCAATGCAGAACTCATGCAGTGAGCAGCATGTAACTTAGTTGGCAAGGGATACCTTTTAAATGTGTCAGATGACCAGTTCCCAAAAACTTGAATGTGTTCTCCAGGAATTCCATTCTGAGAGGCCTAATTCACCCTTCTGTTCCCCGACAAAAAAAGGGCCTCTGATATGTCTGCACCTGAGGAACACACACAAACGCTAAACTCTGATGAAATACCTGAAAAAACTGTTGCTTAGTGACCAGAGAAAGAAAACTGGCTATGGATATAATAACATACGTGGGGGCATGGGCGGGGCCAGAGTGAAAGCCCACATGGTGAAGCATCTTTATGGAACACAAGGGCAATTTGAGAGGGACACAGTCTATATTCTGCATTCACTCATGCACTCATTCATGTTTACAATTCTTGTCACAGCCTACTCTATCAAACAACCACGTTTTGTCAGCCCTGTTATTCACTTTAAGACGGAAACCATCAGGAAATTGAGTAATTTCAATTTTCAGTGCCTCTGGACAAAAACCTTGTACCAGAATAATTTAAACAGTATCACATTGTTTTTTACATTTTTCAAGGGCTGTAGATATAATTAATTACCTGTAATAACACCAAAGACTATTTCTCGTGGGAGCTCAAGAAAATAAATGTCAAATTTCACAAGAATTGTGAGAACACGGGTAAATTCTGAAAATTTCATGTGTAAGATGTCATTTTGTGAAATTTGACATTTATTTTCTCGGGCTGTCCTAAAAAATATCCTTGGTGTTAATATTACAGATAACTAATTACATTATAGCCCTTGAAAAAATGTAAAAAAGAATGCAATATTTTTTTAATTATTCTGGTACAAGGTTTTTGTCCACTGAAAATTAAAATTACTCAATTTCCTGATGGATTTCGTCTTAAACGTCTTACTTAACCAAAGAGAGAGCGTACACGTGAACCTAAATTTTTACCATCTAGCTATAGAGTAGCTGTAATTTGATGGAGAAAGGTTTGACGCTGTAATAAAAATGCTTGACTGTTACAAATGATTGTCAGATAATAAGTTAATGTAATTTGCAGATTTGAATGAGCCATTCCAGGCATCCCAGACTCATATGTTACATAGATGTAACTTGATAGCTATTGTAGGGACAGGGCCAGGTGCTAAATTTTTCAACGACAAAGGTAATCTTAATTTCTTTATCTGATTTACTTGATGACAATATTGATTGTTAAATTAAAATTTAATTTAACAATCAATATTTAATATTGTCCAAGGTACTCAATGAGAAAGAATTTATGATTTGTGTATGATGCTTTAGTCGCTCCTTATTTTGATTATTGCTCCAAAGTCTGGGAATGTATGGGAAAAGGCCCGTGTGACAGACTCCAGAGATTGCAAAATAGGGCTGGGAGAATTATAACATTTAGTGATTATAATACAAGATCTGCGGATATCCTCCAAGACTTGAGATGGGATACCCTTGAGCAAAGACGCTCTAAATAGCTCGCAAAAAGTGTTTTTAAATCTCTAAAATTAACTGTTACCCTGAGAGTTTAAAGAACATGTTTAAACCAACCTCCGGGGTTCATTCCTACAACATGCAAGGTGCCTTGAACAACATTTTTGTACCAAGGCCCCGTACTGAAGCTGCTAAGCGAGCTTTTAGCTATAGGGGAGCAGTCATGTGGAATGGCCTAGAAAATGTGCTTAAAGACGAGATAAATCTCAACTCTTTCAAGTCTGCCCTGTCTTTGTCTTGAACCAGAGATTGCCTTGAGGGAGTTGAGATAGAATTTATTTTAGTTATATAATGTACCTTTAAGGTTGATTGATTTTTGTGTAATTAATTATAGGATAGATATTTTTCCAAATATATAGATATATTATTTTTAGCATTAGTGTAGTTTCTCTGAAAATTGTGTTATGTAAACGGCTCACTGGAAGAGCATTTTTAATGAAGTGATACCGTAAATAAAGCTTGATTGTTGTTGTTGTTGTTACATTTTGTACACTTTCTAGTTTATATCTGGGATGATGTGCAGAAAAAGCTGGTGATTGAACTTACATTTGGCTGCCCTGTTATGAGTGTCAGGATGAGAAGAGAAAAGTATGTTGTTACACGTAAATGTACATTGTAAAACATCTTGTTATTATTCATAATACGGTCAAACCCAACTTTACAGACACCTGCTTAATCCCAACACCTTATTATTATGGACAGTTTTCTTTGTAATTATTATTCCTGGGGGAAGACCATTTTTCTCTAAATTCAACCAGCTTAATATGGACATCTGTTAACGCGCGCAACAGACAGCTGTTTCTTGCCCAATCAACAGATTCTCAGAGAAAGTCAACCTCGCTAATGCAGACTCTCCATTGTAAACTGTGTGCTGTAATAAGTTTACCTTTCCTTTTTGAACCTTCAGTTCACAGCATGTCAATGTTCCCTGATCAGCACTACCGTACACTGGATAGGACAAATTTCAAACATTAATTTCAGACTATTTTGGCATTGAACAAGTTATGCAGAGAACATTTTTTGAGGAAGTAATGTATAAATCAGCAACTTCTGAGTGTTTTTGTGGACATGGTCCGCAAAATGATGGCTTTGTAAAGGTTACAGATGTTTAATTTGATGGTGTTAATGTCCTGTTATATTTCTTTAACATTTGTTCAAATAAAAGGTGTATTTTTAGCTTAAATAACATGACCCACTTAACATGGACACCCTGTTAATACAGGACTGTAATGATAAATAAATATTTAAAATTACATTAATATTGATACTTTTAAAGTAGCAACTGAATAATACTATTATACCAACTTTAGAAGTGCTGGAAACACATGCAGGTCTTTTTTCTGTTGCTGCTTGAATGTGGAACATGCTTACATCCTGTATAATATTTTAAATGTTTGTTATCTTTGTGTTATGAAATAGGTTATTTGTGGTGCTCAAGACAAGAATCCAAGTGTTTTCATTTCCAAAGGATCCCAAACTTTTGTTTTACTTTGACACAAAAGAAAACCCCAAAGGTAAGACAGTTTTATTAATTTTAAGGCAACAAAGTACATGTACTCATGCATTAGATATCTTGGTGGAAGGAATGTAACAATATTGGAATTTCATTTTCGTATATTTCAGGCTGTGATTATTAACTTGCCATTTGTCACATATTTATTGATACAATTCACCCCAAGGCACACTACAACAACCTCCGTGATGTCCTTGTACATATACTTTGCACCGCAGCCAACTCAGTTTTCATGCTGGTACAAATCCATGCTTGCACGCTCACTGTCACACTTGCCGGTTAAAGTTTCCAGTGACATCAACATTAGTGGCCCTCAATGCTCTTTTGTCATCAAGAAGGCATTTTCTTGCCAAACGTCTGGCTTGGTCTATTGCACCTCCTGTTGCCAGTAATCTCTGTTACCAACATCGGCGAAACAAGGTGGACACAAAGACAACAGTTTGGCGAACACCTTTGAAGCATAAAGAAGAACATGCCTGGTTTCCCTGTCATGGATCATTTTAACATGGCTGGTCACTTAATCCACAAGGCTCTAGTTTGTGGAATTACATGTATCCTCTGCAGGGAAAATGCGCAACACTGAGAAGCGCCTGGAGATGTACCTTATTTTTCAGCTTGGCACCAGCCATCCACGCGGCTTAAACTCTGACTTCTGTTTCCTTTAGGCTGTGTGCCCACTGCAAAGATTTTATATTCTCTTTCCTGGTGTATGCAAACGTCAAAGTTTCCAACGTACTTGTAACACCACTGATGAAGGACCAGGCCCGAAATATTTGGAAAGGAACTCAAACCACAAGATGGCACAGTTTTTGTTCATTATTTTATGTTGAACATTCTCTCACTTACTTTCTAAAGTGCCGCAAAGTTTATCCGAATTTTTTTCTGTTATTTGTTTAATAATATTCATTTGGCATTCCATCCTGAATGCTCATGGTCAAAGTGATACCAAAATCTGAAATTAACACCCCTAAATGAGAGAACAATGATCCCTGCCCATTCTATATTGGTGTATTCTCCTCCCCCGGATTAGCTTATTTAATTCACCCATCAACTAAGCTTAAACTGCAAGGAGGATCTCTGCAGGTACATGTTGTATACTGTAAATGACCTAATAAAATTAATGCCCACTTCCAATTAAATGTCTCTTTTCTAATAAATGCCCTCCGTACGCTGTTAAAATTGTATTAGATGCCCCTCTCTAATAAACGTCCCCTGTCTGTTAGACGCCCCCTATGACAATTACTCCAAAATACTAGAAAATAGCAAAAAGGAGCAAAATCATTCAATTGATTCACTTTCTTTCTTGATTAACAAGGGGTTTCCATATTTTATCTTGTTCAATGTCAAGTTTAACGTAAGGACAGACTAAAAGAGCGAGATGGATTTCTAGATCCCCTAGATGGAGTGGATATTCCACTTTTTTCAAGCTCTCTTGATATTTTTGCCGAAACCATATTAGTTTTGTTGAGCTTGTTACAGTAATGAGCCCACCTCTCTCTTTTAAATGCCTCCTATCTATTAAACGCCCCCACTTGCACCCCTAATTAACAATTATTCCTAGAGCCCGAATGGGCTCTAAGTCAAATGAGCTATTGACTCAGAGGCCATGAGGGCAAGAGGAATAATAATTATTGTTTTAGTAAAAATAATCCAACTAGTTGGTCAAAAATATCGAGAATAAAAGAATTTTAGCTACTTAAGGCTAGACTTTAATCCTTTTTTGCCGCCAAAAAGCGCGCACTTTTCGCTACTAGTAGGCTATAACATATAGCCTAGTAGTAGCTCAACCAATCAGAATGCAGCATTGATAATAGACCACTAGTTTGATTTTACTAAAATTAAATAGACGCCCTGGGCATTTATTAGGTCATCTACGGTAGTTGACTGACTCACTTAAAACAACTGAATCCCAACTTTCATGTAGAAAAGTTGTTTGTGATTGAGCTAAAGTAACAAAACTTTGACAAATTAACCTATTTTGCCTTGCAGGTCTTTGCGAAGTGTGCCCAAGTACAGAAAGACCCTTGATGGTTTTTCCATCGCAGAAATGTGGCAGTATACAGCTTGTGGTATGTACTTGATATCTTGACTACTTGCACAAGTTGCCATGGCAGCTATGGAGGGTCATGTGACACAGTCTTGTTATGTTGTTACCTTTGAGAGTTAATCAGAATTTGCTTGTATTGTTTTGTTTTTTTTTACTGTAGTAGCAGAGTGTTTTTATGCTTGTAGGAATCTCCCAGATTTTGGTTATGGCAATTTTAAATGTGTGTTTCCTATAATTTGATCTTACACATGGCATATGAAAATTAACATTTGAAACATATCTGGCATAATACAATGTAAGTGTAAGTTTATAGTTTGTTTGTAACTTTGTTGACATTTTTAAAACCTAGATTTTCACACTCGTTCTCATTCTAGGACCTTACAAACAGACAGCCTGACACCTCCACAGCACCCTTCACTATCAATGCTCACCAAGGCGAGCTGGCATGCCTGTCCATTAATCAACAGGGAACCCAGGTTGCTACGGCCTCTGAAAAGGTGAGATCTCACAGTTTTACCATGATTACTCAATAAATGCAGGCCTACAAGGGGAACTCTGCAGTTAAATTACTCGCCCACAGCTCATGGTTCTTCTCTAGTTTTGAATGTTTCAGTATCATTTCTTTGGTCTATAAGAGTGTAGACTGTGGAAAAATGTTTTCCATTTGTTAATTGCCCCGTTTTGCCAACTTTTAAAAAACTCCCTTCCCATTCAAATCTCTGTCTGCTTTTGTAACCTCTCTGTGCACTGAAGAGTGTAAACCTCCAGCCAACATAACTTCTGTGTACGACAAAATTGAAAAGGAACCCCTGTTTAGGTGGAGCACTAACCCCCACTCTGCAAAAAACCTCATCCATAAGCTAATAAGTCTCCTTTTGTATTCACACTGTCTTGTTTCTTTCCATCTTCCCCCCCCCCCCCCCCCCCCCCCCCCCCCCCCCCCCCCCCCTCCCCCCTCCAACACCCCTAAAACCACAAAAAATATCAAAAACCTCATCAAACATCTAAAAACAATATCTTTTTTTTTTTTTTTACAACAAAAGTTACCCAAAAAAGAAACCCCTTTTGTGGGGGGCCCCAACCCCCCCCCCTCCAAAAACCCCTCCCCCAAATCAAATAATTCCCCTTTTTTTTTCCCCCTGTTTTTTTTTTTTCCCTCCTCCCCCCCCCCCCCCCCCCCCCGCCGCCAACCCATCCGATCTTACTTCTTAAAATTATAGTAAAACCTACAAGTTGTAATGATACCTGACACAACTTTGAAACTCGAATTGTTTTGTTCTTTATAAAGGGAACACTGATCCGTGTATTTGACACACAAACTAAGAACCTTCTTGTAGAGTTACGACGAGGAGCTGATCCCGCTACTTTATATTGGTAAGAATTTTAACTTCACTGTTTTACTTTGATTCCTACCATGGCTGTACGGTTGAAATTATCTTATCTTTCCATGCTATTCTTATCCAAAGAAGCTCAGAGATCAGTCTCTGGTGGGAGGGAGGGGGTGGGTCCTGATCCCGCATTCCCTCTTCTTTTCCACGAAAATCCTGCATTCCGGCTATTTTTCTTTTTTATCGCTTACCCGAATTCCTCGTTTGTTTTCAAAAACAATAATAATAATGTTTCCTAAAACAACAATAATAATAATAATAATAATAATAATAATAATAATAATAATAGTAATAATAACTTGAACGCAATAGAGCTGACCTTGTTGCAGCAGACAAACAACAAGCAGCTTGCCAAATTATTGATGTAGCTGTATCAAGGGATGCTAGGCTAGAATAGAAGGGGAAAGGGAAAATTGAAAAATACCAAGACCTGGCAAGAGAATTGAGAAAACTGTGGAAGGTCAAAACAAGGGGTGTACCTATTGTTATCGGGGCAGGTGGGACTATCCAAAATGGATTAGTTGGCCATCTTGAAAGCATAGGGGTGTATCTTGATGTGGCTCACGAATCCTCCGACGGGTTCTCGACTACTAAGTTTGCAGGATGTGACTTGTGTCGGGAACTGGTCACCGGTTGAGCACTGAGAGTTTATACATCATAATCATCATCATAAAAGTAAGGCACACTCTTTAGTTTTATTTAAAAGCAGACAGCACTTAATGCGCGCCTGGTTGATTCGCATTTACCGCTCAAACGTATGATTTCCCGAATTCCCAACATTCAGACAAAAAAAAATCCCACATCCCGTGTTTCAATTCTGGCGAATCCCGCTTCCCAGGTAGATGTAAAATCCCCTTTTCCCGTTAAGATATCTTGCGTTTTCCCGAATCCCACACCGTATTTCCGTCAAATCTTAGATCCCGAAAATGCCCTTCCAGACCCTGAAAGATGTCCCATTCAGAATCACAAGCTTTCCTGGAACCTCACAGAACTAATAGCAAATTTGTATGGGTTTCTGTTGCAGCATTAACTTCAGTCATGATTCAGCATTTCTTTGTGTATCCAGTGATAAAGGAACGGTTCATATATTCGCTTTGAAGAATACTGCTTTGAACAAAAGATCAAGGTATTTTTTAACGGATGTATAACGTTAATGAAATGTTTTGGACATGTCTGTTTTCTACAAATTTTTGAGAACTTTGATGGATTGTTCGTGTATATCATGAGGAACCAATCACAGAGATGTTTTGAAGCCGGAGTCATTCTATTAGGAAATTTCACTTATAATCCGTTGATTTGCTTTGCATCGCTTCGCCTCCAAGACAGTTTGGATTTTGAAGGGTTCAGTATTATATACAGCTCAACAAAATTGTAATAAAATTGGAGAAAAAGCCAAAAGCTGTCAAAAACTTTGTTAAGTGAAATCGGCAGCGCGTCATCGCTCAAAGGTGGAAGAGTATTAAAACCATCTCCTGATACTTTCAAATCCAAGTGGCGTTGTGTCACTTGTCTTAAACGTTGTATAACTTTGCTCACTTTAAGTCTCCCATAACTCCGTGGTTAGGGAATGCAACCAGTACTGTCATTACAGGGGGGTAGTCAGGTTTTTGACTTGTTGTAGGCCTGAATGACTGCGGGTCGAAATTTTATTTCCACACATCCCGAAGAAATGCTTGTTTATAATTCTATTGATTGCACTCCTGACAAGTACGCACTGACCTCACCATCACATTGAGCTCTTAAGCTTTTTAGCTCACCCCAACAATGCATAATTTATTACAAGTGTTAGAGTGTTCAAAGCAGAAATTTGTAGGCCCGGTCTATGAGCTGGCTAAGCCCGGCCATGCATCATCATTATCATCATCATCATCATCATCATCATCATCATCATCACTATCATTATCATTATCTTTATCACTAATCGTTATCATTATTAGAGAGTAGTTCTGTTCTTAACAGTTCGTTCATTTCCTGTTCACAGCCTTGCAAAGATGGGATTCTTAGGTCAGTATGTTGAATCTCAATGGGGTTTAGCTAACTTCACTGTCCCAGCAGAACAGCCCTGTATTTGTGCTTTTGGATCCGGCAGCTCTGTTGTTGGTAAGTACATTCGGTTAGCTACGGAAAGACACGGTGCATTAAGCAGTTAATGTTAAGCCTCATTCAAAACAGAGAGTTTTGATTTCATGAGGGTCGAGTAACACGGTAAAGAACCCGCTGCCTTCCGCTCAATTAGTTTTTTGACCATTCAGAAAGCAAAAAGGAGACATTGTTTGCTTGGCGCGATGGGTACATAGATTTCCCGCAGTTGCAAGTTGCTTGTTCACGACCTGGTCACGTGCGAATCCAACTCCCTAGGGACATGGTTAGTGACTTTTTTGCGTCAAAACTGACACATGGCACGTGACACGTTCTCGTCCAATTGGAAAGAGGGTACCCAATAAGTTTTTCGGGATCCGGGTATTGCCCTAATAGAAACGAAATTTTGATTGAGAGTATGCACGGGGTGCAGGATAATAGGCTGATTTAGCAGTAGAAAGGGAACGTCAGTTGACGACGGCGCGCGCAAATCAAATAACTGGCTTGACTAATGGCTGAGCGGCACCGGAAGTCGAGTGTAGTCCTTTCCGCGCGCTTGACGTTCCCGTTCTGTTGCGAAATCAGCCTACTGAAAACGGGAATGCGGCCTTGAGTGAAAATTTGGGTCGGATGACGGGACTGAAGAACCTCATTGGGGACCGACGGAAAACACGCCTGAGTTGGGAGGTATAACACGAACAGGGATCATTAAGAGCGCAAACACAAGTTGGAACAAAGAACTAACTAGCGTCAAGAAAATTCCTTTTGTTACCTTAGTTGTTGTGAGAAATAATTAATGACGATAATAATAATAATTGATGATTAATAATCACGTTAAGTCGTTCTAACTTTTTTGAACCGATCATTCTTTTTTAATTCAGTGGCAGGCTGTAACCATCCAATCGATACTTGCAGAGATTTTCAATTTGGATTATGTAAAACTAAAGCAATCTGTCTGGTCAGGCCTCTTTTGTTTTGTTTTAGTTTTAGTTTTAGTTTTGTTTGTTTTGTTTTGTTTTTTTTGCAGCCGTGTGCGTTGATGGTACTTATCACAAGTATGTCTTCACGCCCGACGGTAACTGTAACCGTGAAAGATACGATGTGTTCCTGGAGCTGGGAGATGACAATGAATTCTGATTTTTAAAAAAAACCCTTTTCTCATACAACAAACATGGAGCCAGAGTAAAAATGCAGATTCAATAGACTTTTTACCAATACAGCGGCCTTATTGAAAATTAATTCGATTTAAGGAGTATTATGGGATGCTCGGGGGCCATGAGCAAGATCCGCTGTACTCGCTTAGTATTAGAAATATGGTCTTTCACTGTATATTTCTCGGGAAAAAGGGATCATTATTACATGTTAACACCGCACAACGATCTTTTTGCCTTTGCAATCTTATTCTAAGAAAACTTTAAGGAAAAAAGCCCCGAAAGGCGCTCGAAAATACCAAACGGAGTATGCTCATGCCCCCCCCCCCGGGCATCCCATAATACTCCTTCACTCTAACTTATTCAATATGGCCGCCGTATCGGTCAAAAGGTCTATCCTGTCTCAAACTACGAAACCTCAGATAGCCCTAGCAATCAATTTCCTATCTGCAGCGTTCCTGACTGTAAGGTTTGAAACATTTTCAACTTAAGAAACCTTTTCAAAATGGTGCGCGATTCAAGATTCAGGTCATAATCCATTAGACCTTATAGAGAATTTCAGCCGTTCGTAACACCTTAAGCTCCTTAATATCTCCTCCCTTTTTCTGTGCTATTCTCAGGAAAATCTGCCTAAAATCAAGACATGTATCTTTGGTGAAAATCTTTAGCTCTCACTTTCTTTACGCCAGTAAATAAGAAGAACATTTTTATCGGTTTTAGCTACAGGCACAGCTCGCTGAGAGTGCAAATGCTTTTCGAAATTGTGTGATTGGAAAAGACGAGTGTAATAGTTGTTATGGATATATGGATATGAGGAGTTAATTCAAACGTGTAGAGTAAATTTTACAAGACAATATTTAGATATTTGTATATTTGTATATATTTTGAATATCTTTATTTATTAAACAGACTCCTAACAAGAATTTAACTAAATCGTGTGTGGTCGTTGATCGCGGCTGTAATATTTATGGGTCCTCGTTAACGCTGGGTTGAGTTCTTTTCACGAAAAAAATGATACCGTTTTCTCGAATTTCAATAATTCCCTACCCTGAGTAACAGGCGAGATGCTGCGGTATCGGCTTCAAACAGATCTCTCTTTCATCAGTTGCGTATGAAGATTTTCGCCCTCTCTCCCTTCTTTAGGCTGGTAATTTATTAAATCCCTGGGCTTAAATACTAGACCTTGATCGACAACGGTATCAGACCTGCTGATAGTTCCAGATTTGAATTAACAAAGCCTCTCATTCTCCACCTATATATTGAACTTGTAGTGATTACCCAGTTTATACTACTACATGAGAAATTTCTGCAATTTGATTGGCTTAGAGCAGTGGTACTTCAGCGTAATTTGAAATACCTACATGTGAAAATTACAAAATTTTTGCTGGTAGTAGTATAAACAAGTAATAGCATGATTTGTACGTGATATTTGGCACAAATACCACTCGTGATATTTCAAAATTGTCTCAGATTTCACTCGCTTAACGGCTCGTGAAATTACGTACAACAATTTCGAAATATCAGTCGTGGTGTTTATGCCAAATATCACTACAAATCATGCTATTACCTTTACTAATTAAGGTCTGAAATTTCCAATTTGTCTTTAGGCCATTAAGCTAAAGCCTTTTCTTTAAGGCCTTCAGGGAGCTTAAGTAACGACGGCGACGACGGAAGTCAAAACGTCGATCAAAATATTAATTTGCGTCCTTCCAAACTTCATCGCGTCTATATGGACTCGCTCAATTTGTCAAATGTACGCGATTTCTCCTGGAGTTATCCTGGTAAAAAAAAGCTTGATGCACGTGCCACATAGCTGTTAATTTTGCTCATAAAACTAATTGTTTTTTGACGTTGTCGTTGTCGTCGTAGTCTTGGTTGCATAAGCTACCAATTAACTTAATCCCTAAAGTAAATCCCCCCGATGAGGTCTTTAAGAAGGTCTCCCAGAAGACTTAAAGCCGAGCTTATGCGTTAGCCACTGATATTTGTTATCTACCGTTAATTTGGTCGTCAGACAATACCTGTCCCATTGACTCGTCAAAACACCTGCTCCAGTCTTGGCTCATTTTGAATTTTAACACGTTCTGTAAACACAACGGCCCAATTTTTATCTACAACAGGGAAAATATTTAGATTTTAAGCTGTTTATAGTATTTTAGCTTATTTTGGATAAGATAGAGTATGTAACGAATTGTCAATTTTGTGAGGCTGACGTGGCTGTTGTACCATTGAGAAGGATGATATCCGGCTGCTTCAGATTCAGTAGAAGTTATAAAAGGTAACTGATATTCGCTACAGACTATCGGTTATCATTCATATTAAACGGCTCAAGGACCATCGCACAATATAATAGAAGAATTAGTAAGGAATTACAAGTATTTCTAACTTGAATCTTCGGTGTTATAATAGCTCGCAGCCATAGTATAGATGTAGTGTTTCAAGCAGGATAGAGCCAGCTAAATGACATCGCTAACAATAATTTTGTCATTTTAAACAGCAAATACAATATACTCAGATGGATGTGTTTAATACACAGATCACTACAAGACTACTGGGTGAGCGTTAAGAAAGTGGAATTGTAAATGGGAAAGGAGTATAGAAAATACAACAGCTTGCAACAGCAGTCAGCGGTGGCAATTCTACGGATGCAATCCGCAAATTATTAAGAACGCCGGCCACGTATAGAGAAATTTTTACGATTCTTCGAGTTCAAGTACCTCTTCTGCAATTATGAGTTCCCTTGAATCCAACAAAGAACTGGGAGTTTATCTCAAAGGAAATTCTCGAGGACATTTTAATTCCAGGTTTAATAATCGAACACCGCTATCTCTGCACCCACCGGTTTCTATGGAAACAGAAAAATCAGGTTTATTATCGAAGGCCGAGGAGATCCACTACCGCAAATCCAAGCGAATTCTAAGAATTTTCCAGAAAGCAAGGGTCGAGAGGAGAAGAAGAACAGACGCAGAAGTATACTTATTAGAACGACAAGGTAACGAAACCATAGGTGAGAGAGCTATAAAGTCAGCACGCGACAAAAATACGCTCCCTGATGTTAAATCTAAACGTCGTCATGAAACGAAGATGATGCGTCATTTTCTGCCAAAATTGACTGACAGCGACTGGTCTGCTACATCGCCTTCAACATCAGATGTATCTTCAGATAAAACCTTTACGTCAGCTGTCGAAGACGACGAGGAACTCCGCGCAGTTGGCGGGCGAAAGAGAAGCGTCCTCGCGTGGAGCACGTGTGTATTTCCAGCCATACTAGTGGATCACCGAAAAACCAGGAGCATTACCTCACTTAATCTGAGACACGAAAGAAATGAAAGGCATAAGGACATAAAAAGAAACTCATTTAAGCCTGCTGAGTATGCAGCAGAGATGAGCTGTTCAGTACAACATGAGCTGTCTGAAGAGAAACCAATTTCCCCAAAGTTGTACCCTTCGCATCATGGCTGGTGACATAGTTTTAATGACAACTCAATAAAAATTGTATATGCTTAGAAGCATGCACCCGGGCTGAGATTAACAGCATTAATGACGCTCTCATTACCGTGTTAAAAGAACTTAGCCTACTTTTTTGTTCCACTGATCTGAACATGCCAAGAGACAAGTATTTTGATTGTTACGAAAACTTAAAAGAGAAACAGATGTTAAAACTTGGGTTTAGCTAAAATGCGAAAAGAGCCAGTGTACACTCGTTCCCAGTCCCTATGTCATTGTAAAATAATGACCTAGTGGAAGTCTGGAGTCCTTTTGAAATAAACTTCTACAAGGCAACCCAAAAAACACCATGTCCCGGTAAAAAATAGGTCCTTTTTCCCCAAAACCCCCAACGGAGACCCAAAACTAAATTTTACCCCCACAAAGCGGGGCCGCAGCCCCCCCCCCCCTTTCAAATGGGGGTTCCCCCCCCCCCCCCCCCCGAATCTCTTCCCTTTTTCTGTACTATTCTCAGGAAAATCTGCTAAAAATCAGGACATATATCTTTGGTGAACATTTTTGCTCTCACTTTTTTTGCGCCAATAAATAGGAGGAACATTTTTATCAGTTTTAGCTACAGGCACAGCTCACTGAGGGTACAAATGCTTATCAAACCTGTGTGATTGGAAAAGACGAATGTAATAGTTGTTATGGATAAGCTGAGGAGATAATTCAAACGTGCAGAGTAAATTTTACAAGACAATTTTTAGATATTTGTATATTTGTAAATATTTTGAACATCCTTATTTATTAAACAGACTCTTAACAAGAATTTAACTAAATCGTGTGTGGTCGTTGATCGCGGCTGTATATTAATGGGTCCTTGTTGGGTTGAGCTCTTTTAACGAATGAAAATGATACCGTTTTCTCGAATTTCAATAATTCACTACCCTGGGTAACAGGCGAGATGCTCCGGTATCGGCTTCAAATAGATCTCTTTTTCATCAGCTGCATATGAAGATTTTCGCCCTCTCTCCCTTCTTTAGGCTGGTAATTTATTAAATCCTGGGCTTAAATACTAGACCTTGATCGACAACGGTACCAGACCTGCTGATAGTTCCAGATTTGAATTAACAAAGCTCCTCATTCTCCATCTATAAATTGAACTTCTAGTGATTACCCAGTTCATTAAGGTCTGAAATTTCAAATTCCTGTTTAGGCCATTAAGCTTAAGCCTTCTCTCTTAAGCCATTAGGAAGCTCAAGTAACGACGGCGACGACGGAAGTGAAAACGTCGATCAAAATATTAATTTGCGTCCTTTCAAACTTTATCGCGTCTATTTGGACTCGCTCAATTTGTCAAATGTACGCGATTTCTCCTGGGGTTGAATTCTTAACTACTTTATCCAAATGAAAAAAAGCTTGATGCACGCGCCACATAGCTGTTAATTTTGCTCATAAAACTAATTGTTTTTTGACGTTGTCGTTGTCGTCATAGTCTTGGTTGCATAAGCTCCCAATTAACTTAATCCCTGAAGTAAATCCCCCCGATGAGGTCTTTACGAGGTCTTCCTTAAGACTTAAAGCCGAGCTTATGCGTTAGCCACTGATATTTGTTATCTACCGTTAATTTGGTCGTCAGACAATACCTGTCCCATTGACTCGTCAAAACACCTGCTCCAATCTTGGCTCATTTTGAATTTTAACACGTTCTGTAGACACAACGGCCCAATTTTTATCTACAACAGGGAAAATATTTAGATTTTCAAGCTGTTTAAAGTATTTTAGATAAGACAGAGTATGTAACGAATTGTCAATTTCGTGAGGCTGACGTGGCTGTTGTACCATTGAGAAGGGTGATATCTGCTTCAGATTCAGTAGAAGTTATAAAAGGTAACTGATATACACTACAGACTATCGGTTATCATTCATATTAAACGGCTCAAGGACCATCGCACAATATAATAGAAGAATTAGTAAGGAATTACAAGTATTTCTAACTTGAATCTTCAGTGTTATAATAGCTCGGAGCCATAGTATAGATGTAGTGTTTCAAGCAGGATAGAGCCAGCTA